CAAAGGGAAAACCTCTTTTGCAGAAAATACAATTTAATTATGAGAGAAGGTCCTGAGGGAATTTTTTTTTCTCTCTTATTGTTCATCTTACCTTTAGTCTTTTCAGGATAAATTAAAAGGCCTATTTTTAGATCTTGGCATGATAGCATTTTTCTTGTGAAAAAGAACAACAACAACAAAAAAAAAGACCATATCTGGAAGTGAACCCATCTTGAAAGAAAATGTGTTTATGAAAATTTGCCAGTATTTCTAAAATTTTCTCTCACACTAACTTCCTCCTACATTATCTATACCCCTAGATCTAGAGTAGACAGGGAACCCCAAACATTAACAATTAGCCAGATTTCCCAAAAATCTCATCCAGACACACCAGGTTGGCAACCAAGAAGCTTCTGCAGGGACATGCTTTCCGTGTTTCAGAAGGCTGATATTGACGACGTAACCCCTGTACGATTGTGAGGATGGTGCAGAACCAGGCAGTGTTTCTTTCTGTTGTACGTGGGGTCGCTATGAGTCGGAAACAACTCAACGCCATCTAACAACAACAACCCCTGTACCTATGAATGTGGTCTTGTTTGGGGAAATAAGGTTTTTCTTTGCAGATATTATTTATCAGTTAAGTTAGTGATACCAGAGCATGGTGGATCCTAATCCCTTCTGAGTGGTGTCTTATAAAAGGTCAGAATAGACACAGAGGCAGAATCACAGGAGAAGACAGAGAGCAAGTAAAGACACATATAAAAGCCAACGAATGCCAAGAAACACCCAGGACTACCAGAAGCTAGAAGAGACGAGGAAGGAGCTTTCTCTAGAGCAGACAGAGAGACAGCATGTTCCCGCCAATACCCAGAACTCAAACTCCTAGCCAGAACTGAGATAACAAATTTCTGTTCTTTAAAGCTACTCATTTTATGGTAGCCCTAGGACGCTAAGACAGAAGTCATCTTGCACAAAACTGAAGACACTGAAGTTCAGAAGATAAAAGTGGCTTTTCAAAGTCATAACCTTAGTGGCAAAGTGGGAAGACTTTTAGACTTCAGTTTCTCCCCTGAGCATATTATTATAAACCCTGGACAAGTTCAAAGGTTGTATGAATGTGAGTGTAAGCATCTAAGAAGAATTTCTAGAATACAATT